GCAGCACGCTGTCCCATTGTGTGAGTGGTTTCATGGCTAGAGTCACATAGTGGCTTTGTTTCCCCCAAGGTGAACTGCCCAAGAACATGTGAGGTCAAGGACTGTGACTCCCAAGTGCACAGCTGTGAGTTCTTTGGTAAGGGTGGTGTTCCACAGTTGCTTCCTCTATTGGAGGAGGAGCTTTGTTGCCTTGCATCATGGCAGGGCTGTTGGGGGTCCTGTGGCAGCCCTGTGTTTGCTTGGATGGCATTTAAGTGTCATGGGGCTTAGAACCAGTTCTCAGTATGGCCAAGATGGCACAGGAAAGGTTTGAGCATGGGAGGCTGAAGGCTGTGGTTCATGTGAAGGAACAGGATGGCTAATGAGCTCTTGCCTATGACCACTGTTATGTTAACCCAGAGCAGCCAAGCCAGTAAGCAGAGGCAAAGTCTGCAGTGCCACAAGGCAATTGCTCTGTGCACCCATGCATCTGGTTTTGTGTGTCTGTGTGTGCACACATGTGTCTGGTTCTGAATGTGTGTGTGCATGTGTCTGTTCTGGTTTTCTGTGTTTCTGCACATGTGGTTCTGTGTGTGTGTGTGTGTACATGTGTGTTTACATGTGCGTGTGTGGTTCTCTGTGTGCATGTGTATACGTCTGGTTCTCTGCTTTCCTTTCTCTCTCTCTCTCTCTCTCTCTCTCTCTCTCTCTCTCTTCTCTTTCCCTCTTTCTCTCTCTCCTCTTTCTCTTATTTCTCTTTTTTTTCCTCTCTCTCTCTCACTGCAACATGTTTAACAAAAAAGTACACCACAACAAAGGCAACATTTATGATTATTAAATATACTAATATGCAGTATGTCCTGCCATGCTCCCGCACCCTCTCCTTCCCCCATTTTGTTTTTCTGGCATGCCGGCACTCCAGCACCTTCCAAGGTAGGTATTGTGGTGTTTTCGGCACTGCAGCCAAAAAACGTTGCCTGTCCCTGAGTTAAGATCCAACCCTGCCATTCTGTTTGTTCTGTAACTGATGATTTGGCTTATGAATAGAGCAGAGGGAGTGAACCCAGCATTCCCTAGAGCAGGGTGTAGTCAGTACCCAGAGCAGGGTGGAGATTGTGTCCAGTGCAGGGCAGAGATAGAGCCCAAAAAGAGACAGAGATAGGAAGCCAAGTGCTCACTATCCTCGATCTATGTGGGGGCCCAAAGTCAGAAAGGACAAGTCAAGGATTGACACTCAGTAAACTAAGGTTTGATGAAGTCAGCCTAAGCAAAAAGGCCAGTGAGAGGAAGAGCAGATACTGAGGAGACAGATGCCCAAACACGGGAAAGTAAATTAAGATAAATCAAGATAAATGTAGGGTTAACTGAGATACCTTGACTTGATCTAAACAGTGTTTTAAAGTCTAGCTAAAACACTTGCATCTGTTATCTTAATGTGATATTTTTTACATTGTGGCAGGTACAAACCAGAACATTTTTAGAATAAAAGTCATTGCCATATGTCTTCTAGCATCATCCAGGTATATGTACTCAGAAGATCCAAATAGTCTTTTGCCTATACGACTCTATTTTCAATAGTATTTATTTCAAATTTAAAATATTGATACTTTTTATATGCAGTTGTATTTTTAAATCAGTTGAAAACTGGATTTTTTTTTGGAAAATTCTGCCCATGGCTCTTTTCAAGTCTTCATTTTTCAGACTATAGATGGTGGGGTTTAACATGGGGGTTAAGATGCTGTACTGGATGGAAAGGACTTGATCTAGTATCACTGACAAAATGGAGCGGGGCTTCATGTACTGAAAAAGAGCTGTTGCATAAAATAAAGAAACCACAATGAGGTGGGAGCTGCAGGTGAAATAAGTATAGAAATACAGATGGACTACATGATAATTACAAAAGCAATTGATGGGTTTGAATAGTCAAACTGACTGAGAAGTAGGTTTCCAGCTCATAGAAATTTCACATTTAGAATTTTTCTTTTGGTGCAAATTAGAATATTTTACACCCAAATTTTCTAATTCCCAATATGCTGCCTGAGTGCCAAAGAGCCATGGTGCTTCATCTAAGTTTTCCAGGATCTGAGACCCTGCCCCGTGGCAAGGAACATAGAAGCTCTAACAGATGTGGCTCTGGCTGGTGTTCCCTAGGCATCTAGACGTTCTGCTTTGCAACTGAGAGCCAAGGTTCGTTTAGAGCCAGACCCATCAGGGCTTTCAGGATCGTGTCTTTATAGCAAGAACATGCAAGTCAGATTCTGACGATGGTCAAGAACTGGGCACCCTAGAATCTCAGTGAACCTGGGCCATGGAAACTTAATCTGATGGCACTTTCTTCAAGTCAAGGCTTATAGATAGATGCATTGGTTGGACAGTTCTTCAAGAAGGAAAGAGATCTGTGGATGCTTACTGGCCCAGAGAAAAGCAAGAAAGCATAAAATATCCATTTTCCCACACACGGTTTTTTTTCAGAACAAATTGTGGCACCTGTTTATTCTGAGTGCTGGTGTTAAATGGGTATAATTTGGTAATTTCATATTGACCTTAATTCCAAATTTCCTTGTTGGTTCTTCCTCCTCTATTGAATCAATCTCAAGTGACCTTATTATTATTGGCTGTCACTCCCTTGTTTTTCTGGTAACCTTAGCAGACCATGTTCTATATGAAATCAAGTAACTTGGATGCTGAAAAGAACAAATGGGACCTCATTTACAAACCCAGATCACTGACCTGGATCTGCTCAGACAGCCCTTGTACACATTTGTTGACCTGTCAAATTGCAGGCACCTATTTGTATAAATTCTGTTGCAGGATTGGGAGCAATTCTGTTTCAACCCCTACTCTGAATTTTCCTCTGATTTTTTTCTTTTACCACATACATGAAATAAACCAGTATTTTTCCAACTGTTTCTTCCCATCCTTAAAGACAAAGCACCAAATATACCAACACGGATCCTTATTAATTTGTCATTTTTTCCCCTATTTTCTGACAGCACCTGTCATTATATCTTAGCTTTTTATATACATCTTCATCATAGCATGCTTGCCTTTGCATTCATTTTAAAGGCCCATCTCATCATACTGTACAGCCATTATTAATGTATTTTAAATAAAACCATGTAAAGGTTTGCCTGAGGTTGGGCAATTTAGCAAGCCAGTAGAGAACTAAGTAAAAAACAAACAAACAAACAAAAAACAAACAAACAGAAACCCATAGTTTAAAATTCATTTTCTATATGTTGTAATGTAGAACATAATAACAGACGCACAAAAATATAGTGAGATTTAGGTAGTTATGAAGTTTTCACTTGTCAAAAATAAGACCTTTTTTCAAGGTTTTAATGCAGTTTTGCATCCAATCTAAAGTTATGGATAATTAAAACAAAATAAAACAAAATATAACACAGTAGAAGGATCAAACAAAAATAATCTCAAAAATTAAAAACCCTTCCAAGAAAACTAAATGGCTTTCTTTAACCAGCCCTGACTAGCAGATATTTATATATTTATTTATCCATGCCTATTTGGCAAATTTCTTAAATCCACACTTTCAAGTTCCCATACAACAGAGACTTTTTAGGAAGAGGGACTGCAAACTTCATGGTATCAAACAAATCTTGTCTTCTAAGTCCCCGAAAGAACACTTGTGCACAGGTGGTCACTATTTCTGTGGCATGTATCCTTACGCACATGGATGGCTACCTATGTACCTAGACGTAGAATGTCAAAATCTTGTATAAGTGGCAATTTTGGGACTTAGATAATCATGTGGACAAGCAAATCTAGTCATTCAGAAAAGAACAGAATGTTACACTAAGCTCATATCTTTAGCGGTTTAAGTGGTCTCCTTTGGGGTGTGAGTTTGAGCCCCTTCAGGCAGAGAAGGGAATTTAATATTGGTGTCCCATATCTTGGGCAAGTGTGCTAAACACTGGGATACTGATTAAAAGGAAGGCAGCACCAATGCCCCCTGCAGCTATGTTTTAAAATTAATTTCTGGACACCACTGGCTTTTGTAAGAAACTGGTCCTGTCTGTGTGTGTTAAATGTGCTCCAAGAAAACCTAGTAGATTAGGCTTCTCAGGATTCTGAGGCATAAGAACACAGTTTCTGAATCCTGACTGGGTTTGGGCATAACTGAGGTGCAAAATTGCACATAGCCTATCTTGACATACCATAAAGGTTGAACACAGGGTACTTGGGAAAACTTAAAACATGAAAATGCCTGTAGGGTTTTAGGCACATCAGGAGTTAGGTAGCAGTTAACAGGGGCTTTTATAATTACATGTTTGGATGTAGGAACTGACTTTTCACCCTAATTCCAATTGAGGCACAATAGTTCTTTTGTGGATCTGCCCCAGAGGTCATAGGGCTGAAATGAACCCTGGGATCATCGAATCCAGCCCAGTGTATTTTGAACACGCTTGTTCTATATTCCCTGTGTAATGCTCAGCCTATACAAATTTATGGTAAACTCATATGACATTTTGTTTTACATTCTTACCCTATCCATTCATTTAAGCAGCTCTTTCAACTCTCTTCTTTTTACTCCCTCCCCGATATACTTGCAGAAAGCCTCCTTTTCCCTAACATATCCTTTGTACCCTAGGGTAGACAAGGGAAATTCTTTTAGACTATCCCATTGGACATCGTGATTGGCCTTGTTTGCATCTGTTGCATTTTTAATTCATCTTTTTTTTTTAGGTTTGGTCGCCAGAATTGTATGCATTATTCAACATGAGGTCTTTCAAGTAACTTATGTTATTCTAAAATCTCTCTCTCTCACACACACACACACACACACACACACACACACACACACACGTATTGGTTCTCTTAATGTGATATTTTCTACATTCAGTGGCAGGTACAATCCAGGATATTTTTAGAATAAAAGTCATTGCATATGTAGTCTAGCCTCAATCAGGCACATGTACTCAGAAGATTCCCAAAGTCTGTTTCCCATACCTCATTATTTTCAATAATATTTATTTTAAAATAAAAATATTGAAAAATACTATTTACAGTTGTACTCTATTTACATCAGTTGAGAAACATTTTTTTTTTTTTGTGAAAATTCTGCCCAAGGCTGTTTTCACTTCTTCATTTTTAAGACTATAAATGATGGGGTTTACCATGGGGGTTAAGATGCTGTACTGGATGGAGAAAACTTGATCTAGGGTAACTGAAGAAATTGAACTGGGTTTCATGTACTGAAAAAAACCTGCTCCATACAATAAACCCACCACAATGAGGTGGGAGCTGCAGGTGGAGAAGGCTTTACGTCTACCCTCTGCAGAGCGTATCCTCAAGATGGTGAAAATGATGTGTATGTAGGAAATCAATGTAAGGAGGAAAGTTCCAAAACCAAGGATAACAGCAGAAAAAAGAAGAGCTATTTTGTTGATGAATGTCCTGGAGCAGGACAGTGTAAGTAGATGGGGAAGGTCACAGCTAAAATGCTCAATTTCATTGGGCCCACAGAAGTGCAATTTGGACACAGGAACTGTATTGACCAAGGAATGCATAACACCCATTGTCCAGGAAGCACCCACGAGTTGCCTGCACACTCTTTTGTTCATAGTCCCTGCATAATGCAGCGGCTTACATATGGCAGTATAACGATCATAAGCCATTGCTGAGAGCATGGATATCTCACAAGAACCTGAGAAAAGCATGAAGAACATCTGGGTAAAACAAGCATTGACAGAAATAGTCTTATGTGCTGCTAGAAAATTCACCAGCATCTTAGGGACAATGGCTGAGGAATAGCAGATATCAATAAGGGATAGGTAAAAAAGGAAGAAATACATGGGGGTGTGAAGGTGAGAATCAGCTTTTATCACCAACATGATGACTGCATTTGCTGCTAGGGTGATTAGATATATTACCCAAAATACAAAGAACAGTAAAAATTGAAGTTGTGGGTCACTGGAAAGTCCCAAAAGAATAAATTCAGTCACAGTGGTGTGGTTTTCCATTTCCAGGTAGTGGCCTGTGAGAAAAAACAATTATCATAATTACAGTCAATGGAATTTCAATAAGATGAACTGCAGATAGACAGCAGGATAAGGTTATAGTTTCATGGCTACATGGAATATTTGAATACTCAGAGTGACTGATAAGCAGGTTTTCAGCTCAACAGAAATCTTAAGTTTTAAAAAATTTGGTTTTAATCCAAGTCTATATCTATATAGACACACATACACACAGATCTAAATCTATATATCTATATATCCTCAAATATGTATATGCCTATTTACATGTATGGATATATAGATATCTCCCTGATTTTTTTTTTTCAAAATCAACGTGTTGCTCTCATGTCCAAGACCTGGAACATTTATCGTAGTTTCTTTAGGCTCTACATCTCATCTGTATAGCATAGAGACCACTATGTGTAATAGACCTAGCTCTGGTTCTGGTCTATTATCTATTATCAGACTTCTAGGCTTTATGCTGTGAAGCTGAGAGCCTAGTTTCAGTAAGAACCAGGCCCAACACTACTTACTTTCAGGATTTTTGCATTATGACAGGAAATATGAAATCGCTGATATAAGCAACTGAGAATTGAGGACCCTAGGATCCCTGGATCCCAGGTAGGGCTGTGAGAAATTTCACCGGAAGTTTCATTTCGACACTGTTTTGACTCATTTCAAGCTCAAAACAGTGAACTCGAAACAAAACAGAGAGCTTTCACACAGCCTCAAAATGAAATGAGGCAAGTCGAAACGTTTCAAAAATTTTTAAACATTTTGAGTTTTTGAAGTTCATGCTGGGCTTGCCTGCAGGGAAACAGGAACTAAAGTAAAGAGAGGGAGGTGGAAGAGGGGAGAGGCGGGGGGGGGGGGGGGGAAGGAAGAACTGCTCTCACTATTGACTGTGTATCTGGCCAGTGACTGTCACCCTTCCCTGAGGTCTTTTCCAATCTCAGTGCTCCGTCGGGGGAATGGAAAAACTGCATAAAAGGCAGCGTTATTTGAACTGCCCTGCTTTCTGCCTTGGTGTCAGTTACTGAGCTGTGTGTTCCAGTGTGGCCTGTCAGCAGCTAGAGGTGCAGGGCCCAGAACCCAGACTCCCCCTGCACTTATCTCCTTGACAGCTGGCAGGCTTCGTGGCTGCAGCAGGGCCTAAGAGACCTGCAGTTTTCACCCCCCTGTGCCCTAAGACAGACACAGTCAGTTGCACAAGCACCCATGTCACGAGTTTTGCCTGCCAGCAGCCAGAGGAGCAGGGCAGTAGAACCCAGAATCCCTGCACCTATGTCCTTGATAGCTGGCAGGCTTCATGCCTCAGCAGGGGCAAGCATGCCTGCAGCTTTCACCCTGATGTGCCTTAACACACACACAGTGTCACCATGTCACGAGTTTTGCATGTCTGCAGCTTGAGTGCAGTTTCCCCAAAACCCCGTACCTATCTCCTTGAAGTTTACTGGACTTTATGCCCTGTGAAGGAGCTACCATTCCTGCATGTTTCATCCAAATCAGGCCAGAAATGACAAAGTTATAAGCTGTTTCAAGCTTCCCCATTATAGCCTATGGGCGAAACATGGAAACAGCGTCGAAACAGCTAAACTATTTCAACAAAATGAAATGGAACAGCAGTTTCAAATCGAAAACAAATTTTGAAATGAAACGCTGTTCCATCGGAACATTGAAATGGAAGTTGAAATAGAATGGTGACATTTCGCACAGCCCTGATCCCTGGCTCAGATTCAGATCAATTAGAGGACATGTCCTCTATTCAATGCTTCTGGGCAAACCCACTCAATGGAAAGTCATCGAACAAGAAACTCAGGCCCTTCAGTGCCTCCTGGGCCAGAAGAAGTCTTCCAGCAAAAGGAAGCCTGGAAGATCCATTTCCCAGTATGAGGATAGGGACATAGGCATGGATTCACTGGAGAAAGAAATTACCAAACCCCAATAATCTGCATGAGAAATGGTTGTGCACCAAACAAATAAATATTTCCCTATCAAATTATTGGATCAGAAAATTTGTATACAACTCTATGCCACTTCATTAAACCAGTTCTATGCTTCAAAGTACTGAACAAAATTAAGTGAACTGTTTTCATTGCCTTTTGCTGTGACTCATCAGGTGTCAACACCTTGTTCAAGGAGTGCTCACATGTTCTGCATATTGGGAGCCATCAAACAAAAATTTTCCATGAGACACTATGTATAAAATGTATTTGTTTACACTGAATCCCATATAACCTAGCCCCCAGGAGGAGTGAGGGTTTTCAGGTGGAGAAACAGTATGGATTGTCAGGAAACTGAATTAGAAATCACCTCACCTAATTATTATGATTGTTCATAGTTAAATGACTTCCTAAATATGCCATAGTGAATGTCCATAGCTCTTATCTGTCATAGGCTGGCATCAAAGACCCCACTGGAGTTGCAGCCAGCAAAGGATATGAAGGGTAAGAATAAGGGCTTTTATAAGTATATTGGTAGCAAGAAGAGGACCAGGGAAAGTGTAGGTCCCTTACTGAATGGGGGAAGGCAACCTTATCACAAAGAATGCAGAAAAGGCTTAAGTGCTCAATGCCTTTTTTGCCTCAGTCTTCAATGGCCTTCAGTCTTTTGCCTTCAGTAATCAATGGCTCGATGTCTTGTTGCCAGCCAGTATCAAGTGGAGTGCTCAAGGGGTTGGTCCTGAGGCTGGTTTTATTCAATGTCTTCATTAGCAACCTGGAAGACTGCATAGAGTGCACCCTTAGCAAGTTTGCAGATGACATCAAGCTGTTGGGAGTAGTAGATACACTGGAAGGTAGGGCTAGGATTCAGAAAGACTTAGACAAATTGGAGGATTGGGCCAAAATGAATCTCATGAGATTCAACAAGAACAAGTGCAAAGTCCTGCAGTTAGGACAAAACAATCCTATGCGCCAGTAGGCTGGGGACTGACTGGCTGGGCAGCAGCTCGGCAGGAAAAGGCCTGGGTATTACAGTGGACAATAAGCTGAATATGAGCCAACAGTGTGCCCTTGTTGCCAAGAAGGCTAATGGCATCCTGGGCTGCATTGACAGTTGTGTTGCCAGTAGGCCAAGGGAAGTGATTATTCCCCTCTATTCAGCACTGGTGAGGCCACATCTGGAGTACTGTGTCCAGTTTGGGGCACCTCACTACAGAAAGGATGTGGCCAAATTGGAGAGAGTCTAGCAGAGGGCAACAAAAATGGTGAGGGGCCTGAGGCACATGATTTACAAGGATATACCCCTGTGGCGTACACAAAAGGCCTGATCCTTACCTGCCTCTCTGGCGGTGGGTAGGGAAGGGTGAGCTGTCAGCAGGCCGAGCAGTCCCTGAGCTGTGTGGGGAGAGGGGCTGGTGGTTCCCTCCTGAGATCCCTTGGAGCCCTAATTTTCTATGATTCTGTTACAGAAGCTATACAACAATACTACTAACATGAGTCCAGCAACATCATCTCGGCATGAAACTCAGGATAAGACAGTGAGGTCCAAAACCCTGCATAAAACAGGCATGAAAGTTTCAACACAAGCAGTTAAAGAATATACTGGTTTTTTACTATTTTCTTTCCCTGTATATTAACCAGGTCAGACATTAACATTTATAGTTGTCCTCTTCTTCTGGAAAAAAGTTATAGGCTAAGATTTTTTCAAGATGCTGGTGTTGCTCTTGTTTTTATGACTTCTTAAAAGGTCTCCTCAGGACACTTTATAATAGTGGTGCTCAACTATCTGGCCCTGGAAGCCAAATTAATGATTTGGGGGGGACAGTTAACAGGTCAAATCCCACAAGTAGGGTCAGTCATAAGCCGAATCCAGGAGAGGCAGTCTATGCATGTGATCCAGTGCACTGTGTCAGTCCTGTGAGCTAGATTGAGCCCTGAAGAAAACCTGAATGCTGGCCTGGCCCTCTGCACTGGATCAATCTAGAGCAGGGGTCATATCTTCTGGCTCACAGGGCTGCCCACAGACTCAGAAATTTGGCAGTAAGGGCATGATGGTAGCATCACATTTTGTCTCTGGAAAACAAAGTAATTAATGCTGCAACTCCTTCCCCACCACCAATTTTTCAGTCATAGTGGCAGGCTGTATTTGGCCCATGGGTTGAAGGTTGAGCATCACTGCTTTGAAGGATACTGACTTTCAGGTATTGTTGAGCTGGCACTTTCTTAAAACAAACAAAATAAAAACCACAACAAAAACTTCTCCTTTTTTCTTGCATTTAGAATCCAAAAACAAGAAACACCTAAGACCTTGATCAGCAGCAATACAGGGTCTTCCAACCTACTCCTAATATCTGTTTGACCCCATTGCCTTTTTTGCCCCTGAATCAAATCTGTGTACCTACTGACTTCCATTAAGTCTTAATGTAATTTATTATAAAAAAAGTATTTCTTTATGTAGAAGCAGAGAAAGAATAAATATCCAACTCCATTAATTTTATTGACTTTCTCTCCTTCCATTTTTCCTAAGTCTTACCCAATTTTATTCTTTATGTACTCAGGAAATGGGATGGTTGAATAATAAATGTCATTTCATGTGAATACAGTTCACAGTAAAACAGCACTGGAAAGCCCAGATCACTGAACTGGATTTACACAGGGAGCTCCTGTAAACATCCAAAGGCAGGCCAATTGCAGGGACCTATTTATATGCAATTTGGTGAAGGATCAGGACCAAAACAATTTCCACCAGCATGATTTGCTTTGGTCATTTATAAAAAAAAGCCAGCCTGATAAATTCCCAGATGTGATTATAGGCAGACAAAGTTCCTTGGGTGAATTTGATATCTAATAAAAGATATCAAATTCACCCAAAGAACCTTGTCTGCCTATGTCCTTAGACCAACACAGCTACAATCTAAACTCCTGCAAATGTGTTTATTGCATTCTCAAGACAATTATTCATTAAATCAACCATGCATTTCCCTTTCTTTTACCTTTCATTCAAAATACTTTATCATCGCATCTTAATTTGTTATGACCATTCTTCAACTCATCACCAGT